CATTAAATGTATTGGAATGATACTGGTTAAAAAAATTATATGTTTCAGCCCTAGCTGGGTTTGCTCAGTGGTTAGAGCGTCGGCTCACAGACTGAAGGGTCCTGGGTTCGATTCTGAACAAAGGCACGTACCTCAGTTGCAGGCTGGATCCTCAATCAGGGTCAGGACAAGTGTAGGAGGCAACCAATGTGTTTCTCTCACATCAATGTTTCTCTCTCTCTCTTCCACACTCTCTGAAAAGCAATGGTAAAAATATCCTCGAGTGAGGATTTTTAAAAAATTATATAGGTTTCAAGTATACAATTCTATGATACATCATCAGTATATTGCCCTGTGTGCTCAACACCCAAAGTAATATCTTCCATCACCGTATATTTAACCTCCTTTACCCTTTACTATCGCCACCCCCTTCCCTCTGGTAACCACCATACTGTGTCTATGAGTTTTTGTTTTTCTTATTTGTTCATTTGCTTTCAGCCATGTGTGACATGGATGGATCCTGAGAATGTCATGTTAAGTGAAGTAAGTCAGAAAAAGTCAAAACCATATTTCACTCATGTGGGACACACTGAAATTTTTTATTTTCTTTATTCTGCACCCTTTTGGTTATATTTGCTTTTCTTTCTCTGGTTTTTAAGGTGGAAGCTGAAGTCACTGATTCAAAATGTTCTGTTCTAACATAATCATTTAGTGCTATAAACTTCTAAGTACTCAATGAGGGAGATCCCACTAATCTTGAAATACTTCATTTTCATTCAGTTCAAAATACTTTGTAATTGTTTGGTTCTATTTCAACCCATGAGTGATTTATAAGTGTTTTACTTGGTTTTCAAGTTTGTGAAGAAATTCTAGAGATCTTTCTGTTACTGGATTCTAACTTTACTCCATTGTTGTTGTACTGAAATACAACAAATTCTATTCAATTTGAGAGAAGTATCTCTTCCACTGTGACAACCAGCACATATATTCATACTATTTTTCCAGGTAGGTTATAAGCTCCACATGGGCAGAGCATATTACCAATACCTTGTATCATGTTTGTTATGTATGTGTTTAATAAGTGCTCATTATAATAAATATTCAAAAGTCCCACACTTCAAATTCCATCACATTGGGGGCTAGGGCTTCAAAATATGGAGATTGGGGAGACACCAACATTCAGCCTATAGGACAAGGAATGAAAAAGGAATTCACATACAACTCATCCCTACTTCACAACAATTTTCTTTTTCAATACCAGATCTGGAAGTCCCTTTAATGGGCCTAAAATTAAGTCCAAGACTCTAGACACATTCCCAAACTAGAAACTCTGTCTATTACTTTGACTACTGGTAAGAATCCCAAAGGGATTGATGGGCTGGATAATCTCCCTGTATTTCACCAAGTTGGGCCTGACCATACAATTGTTCTGTTGCCTAGTAGATGGGATATAGCAGTATTTCTCTGCACTTTTCCAATTCAACCCTATTATGACTGGGAATGGCCCAAAGAGGAAGCCTTGGTCATTTCATCTTGTTACCATTACTATCAGTGACTGCAGGAAGAAAAGTTGATTTTACAATTAATGGTAAATGGGGGCAATAGTGAGATTGTGGCTGAGTGGAGGGGAGCCAAAAATGGGTGTTACAAAGGCAAAAAGTCTAAGATAACATTAGTGCCTTAACAGAGACTTAGAACAAGTAAAAAATATGCTCTTAGCTTAGACTCAGATGCATCTTAGAAAAGACCGCCAAAATTTCCTCCACTTTTAACTAAATGGAGCTGTACAATGGCGAATCTAATAAACATACTTTCAGGATTTATCTGTGTCCTCCTTCCTAATCAATAAACAGATCAGAGCTCAGGATACCAATGTGGCTGTCTCTTGATTCTCATTTCATAGAACATTATGCCTATGAGACAGAATAGGCTTGAAGATTTAGATTTAAATGACAGATTCATTAGAATTTTCTTGGCTAAGACTATACTATATTGTTTCTCCAAAAAATGAGTTATTTTCAATACCAATGTGATGCTTCTGACATGGAAGTAGGCCTGATTTCCTTCCAATTCTAAAACCTGCTATCCAAGCAGGGCAGAAATCAACTAGTTTGCAATGCTGCAGTATAAGCAAGCATCATGGGATTGGGAAAAGATCCTATACAGGATGCTCAGGCTACATGCATACAAGAGAGCTAAGACAGCTTGCTTTGTAATTACTCAGTGCAAAATTAACCACTACAATGGTATAAAATGAAGACCAAAAGAGCATGTAAGAATCAACACCCACCACACACACACACACAGAATCCTTGAGAAACCTTATGGCTCTAGGAAAACAGGGCCAGACCAATATTCAAACATACCAGACAGGCCAAAATCTAACAGCATCAAGCTGAGGGAAGCCAACAGAAGGGGCACATAGACTGTCACTCAAAAAAGAGAAAAGGTCCAGACCAGGTTTGGCTACTGCCTTCTCTTGTTACATAGACTCACAGATGTACCACATAACTCAGAGACTGGTCACAAACATTTATTGTGGTGTCCACAAAATTCAAGTTATTCTTCTATCTTTAAAATATCCACAGTGAGTTTGTGCATAGGTAAATATTTTCTTACATATTTTCTATAAAACTTAATATTACATATAAAACATGTTTTAGTATATCAGTTCCAGGTGAAGATTTTACCAATTCTGAAACTGATACATTTTCTTAGAAAAAAATTATCTGATGCAAACTCAATGTGTTAAAAATGTCACTTATCAAAATATAAAATTTTAATCTAATCTTAATTATTCGATGTTTAATGAAGTTCACTTGGAAGTAAAGGCTTTTGTGTTTTCCCTGAGATTTCTCTCATTTTTAATGAGGTTATCTGATCATTCAGGATACTGACAGAAGTTGCCTTCCTCATGTGAAGTCTCTAACGTACAATGACAAGTTGAATTCTGATAGGTCTTCTGACATTTATTATATTTACAGGGTTTGTGAACCCTGAAAGGCAAAAAGGCACTAAGAAGGGCTCCTGGTGGCTAACTCTGCTAAAATAAAAGCAGAGCCTAGCAGCCATTTCTGCACAGAGGACTCATTGTAAATGCACTTCATGGAGAAGCCTCTGCATTAAACTGCCTGCCATCTGAGCCAACCCCTATAAATATTTCCTGGAACCCTATTTCAACTAATAGGATTGAGGCTTTCTCCATCCAACTAAAGCAGCTCTATTCTGACCAATCAGGACAGTGCCTTTGGACCAATCAAACTGAGGATTTGTATTCCTCATTTGCATGAGGACAGACCAATCAGGGACCAGGGTGGGGACTTCTATCCATCCATACAGGGACAATGTCTCTGGTCCCAGAGCAGACCAAAGCTGCCTAGCAGAAGAGAGTCCTGCCCCCAGGGTGACCTAGCCCCAGGGCAGCCTCACAGCTGTGCTGGTTTCACAACCATGCTGTACCACTATTAACACTGAGTCAAGTTTCCTTCCCCACTGCACCCCAAACTGGATTCATATCAGTGCTGAATTGGCACCAATGACCCAGGGTTAAAAGGTTTCACCCCATTCTAACATAATTGGCTAAACTATATGCATTTAACCAATAAACCAAAATCTTTAAGAGCTCAACACAGTACAAACTTAATTTCTGCTTTAGGAAAAAAATAACAGGGGAAGATCTGTTAATGGAAAATTGTTTCACCATTATACAGAATCTAACTTCTTTCACATTGTACTCTATGTTCAATACACAGCACACAAGTCTGCCATGGAAATTTCTCCATTCCAGTACAACAAAGAACAGGAAGGATGTAAGGTGACTTTTTAAGGTCAAACTTTGCTGAAATGTACTAGCATCATAATTCATGACCAGCCCCACCCAAATGAAGGACAGATTGGGAAATTTAGACAAGCTTGTGCCTATTAGAAAAGGAAATAGTTAAAGCAAACAATTTGTCAGTCTATGTGACATGACCTACTCCATTATGTGTTGTCTAATAAGTCATGAGTTTCTTCAGGACTTCCCAAATTCATGGAAGGTTTTTCTCTCTGGTGTGCATTCTGTTATAATGGACTCGAAGAGCTGCCTTACGAACAAAAGTTTTCTCACATTGATTACATTCATATGGTTTCTCCCCTGTGTGAATTCTCTGGTGTACTCTGAGAGTTGAATTTTGGGCAAAAGCTTTCCCACATTCGTTACATTCATAGGGTTTCTCCCCTGTATGAATTCTCTGATGTGCACTAAGGTGTGATTTTTGGAAGAAAGTTTTCTCACATTCATTACATTCATAGGCTTTTACACCTGTATGAATTCTCTGATGTACTCTGAGGGTTGAATTATGGGCAAAAGGTTTTCCACATATATTACATTCATAGGGTTTCTCCTCTGTATGAATTCTCTGATGTGCACTAACATATGACTTTTGGGAGAAAGTTTTCCCACACTCATTACATTCATAGGGTTTCTCCCCTGTGTGTGTCCTCAGATGTGCTCTGAGGTGTGAGGTCTTGGAGAAAGATTTCCCACATTCATTACATTCATAGGGTTTCTCTCCTGTGTGAATTCTCTGATGTGCCCTGAGGGCTGAATTATCAGCAAAAGTTTTCCCACATTCATTACATTCATAAGGTTTCTCCCCTGTGTGAATTCTCTGATGTGTACTGAGGTGTGTCTTCTGGGAAAAAGTTTTCCCACATTCATTACATTCATAGGGTTTCTCTCCTGTGTGAATTCTTTGATGGACTATGAGTGCTGCTTTATAGCCAAAGGTTTTCCCACATTCGTTACATTCATAAGGCTTTTCCCCTTTGTGAATTCTCTCGTGTCCACGGAGGTATGATTTCTGGGAGAAGGTTTTCCCACATTCATTACATCCATAGGGTTTCTCACCTGTATGAATTCTCTGATGTGTACTGAGGTGTGTCTTCTGGGAAAAAGTTTTCCCACATTCATTACATTCATAGGGTTTCTCTCCTGTGTGAATTCTTTGATGGACTATGAGGTCTGCTTTATAGACAAAGGTTTTCCCACATTCTTTACATTCATAAGGCTTTTCTCCTTTGTGAATTCTCTCATGTCCACTAAAGTACGACTTCTTGGAGAAAGTTTTCCCACATTCATTACATCCATAGGGTTTCTCACCTGTATGAATTCTCTGATGTGTACTGAGGTGTGTCTTCTGGGAAAAAGTTTTCCCACATTCATTACATTCATAAAGTTTCTCCCCAGTATGAATTCTCTGATGTACTCTGAGGGCTGAATTACGGGCGAAGGACCTCCCACATTCATTACATCCATAGGGTTTCTCCCCTGTGTGAATTCTCTGATGTGTTCTGAGGGTTGAATTATCAGCAAAGGTTTTCCCACATTCATTACATTCATAAGGTTTCTCCCCTGTATGAATTCTCTGATGTGAACTGAGGTGTGTCTTGTTAGAGAAAGATTTCCCACATGCAATACATTCATAGGGTTTTCTGACTCTGTGAATTCTCTGATGTGCTCTAAGATGCGACATCTTGGAGAAAGTTTTCCCACATTCAATACACTCATAGAGTTTCTCCTCTGCATGAATTTTCTGATGTTTTCTGAGCTCTGTCATCCTGGAGAATGATTTCCCATATTCATTACTTTGATAGAGTTTAATCTGTTTGTGTGTTCTCTGTTGTACTAAGAGGGCAGCCGTCTTATAAGATTTCCCACATCCATTGTTATCATAAGGTTTCTCCTTTGCGTGAATTGTCAGATGTTCACTGAGGTTTGACATTTGACAGAAAGTTTTCTCACATTCATTATACTCATACAGACTGACCCCCATATGAGTTCCAGGAAAATGAATAGTGTGTGAATTTGAACAAAACAATTTCCCACATTCCTTACACTCGTAAGTTTTCTCCTCTGAGTAGTCCCTCTGATGCTTATTGAGGTGTACTTTCTGGTAAAAGAACTTCCTGAATTCATTACTTTCAAATGACTTCTCTTCTGTGTTACTTTCCTGATGTATACTGAGGAGTGAGTTTTGATGTAAGGATTCCCCATGTTTATCATATCGGTAGAATTTCTCTTCTGTCTGAGTTCTCTGATGTATTTTAAGGTCTAAGTCCTGGTAGGAGGCACTTGTACATCCATTTAAAACACAGACCTTATCTCCAGTTTTTGTCTTCTGATGTACTAGATGGGCTGAGCTTTGGGTCAAGTTTCCTTCACACTTACTGCTTTCAAAAGCACCATGCCTTGTAACAGTTCTCTGAGGCTGAATGAGGGGTAAATTCCTATTGAAGTTATTTCCACTTTCATTACATTGACAGTGTGTCATAGCCATGTGAACTTTATTGTATTCCACAATGGTGGCTCTGTCACAGGATCTCCCACGTTCATTAAGATCAAAGCATTTCTCTCTTGTGCCAGTTCCCATGTGGGTAAATAGAGATGCCTTATCACAGCTTTTCCTAAATACATCATCCTTACAGGATTCCTCTCCTGTTAGAGAACTCTTAACTGTAACACAGACCATAGTTTTATCACGTAAAATTTTTCCAAATTCATTACATGCAAAAGGTTGCTCCAGAGTTTGAAATTTCTGATGATCTTTCGTATGACTGAGAGCATTCACATTTTTATTATATTTGTAAGACCTCTCTCCAGTATGAGTTTTCTCATGTTTAATACCAAGCTGCAACTTTTCACATAAATTCATGTAATCAACCTTCTTTTTTGAATAGTTCCTATCACTAATAATTAAGTCAGAAACAAGTGGGAAATTCATTCTACCTGATTCACATTTACTGGGCATTTTTCCTGAAAAATTTGGAGTTATATCCGGATTAACTGGTTTTCCTAAAATTTTCTGCCTTTCTTTACTCAATGGCTTGTTATCAATTAATAGTACTTGCCACAGAGGTTTCTCTTGTTTTTCCTGTTTCCCCACAATGTGGACATCAACTTGGTAATATCCTAAAATGAGAAAAATTGAAAACACATTATGAATCTTACATTTCTTATTGTGAGGAGCTTATAATCATGTTTTTTTATGCTTTGTACTGTTCCTGGTCATGTTTCCAAAGATTAATAATTCATGCACACATACAGAAACACAAGACACTCTTTCTCTCTCTGCTCATCCAAGTTGTTTAAAAAACAGGATTATTTCCAGTGCTAGCCAAAATGGAGAAGCCCCAATGTTCCAGGTACAACCTCTTGCAATTAAAAATCCCTAGGGAAAAAAATTAACATACAAATGAAGATGCTACAAAATAAAAAGAAGATAGACTTTTGAGACTTAAACAATGACATGGTAGAAAATTCCCAAATTTTCTTTCTGCTTCCCGTTTATCTTATATGGGGTGCTGGATTGCTGGAGAAGCCTGCAATCCAAAGTAAACAATAGACAGAGACAAAAGAGTTCCAACAAAAATGTATAGCTTCTAGTAAAAGGTCTGAGAAAAAGGTGGTCTGGCTGAACGGAAAAACTTTTTGACAATATCCACTATACTCAGCCACCTCACTCCTCCCCCCAAAAAAGAAACACTTCCCTGTGGTTCTACCACAGATGTAAAGCATTTTCACACTCTTACAAAATTTTCCTCCATGAGCCAAACAAAGAGTTCATAGGAAAGATCATGAAGAATTCTGAGAAATTTCCACTCCTAAGATATTCTGGGAGATGGCAGCAGCAACCACTGTCAAAATTCCACCTGAAACCACATTTCTATCTTCTCTTTAAAAGTTGGGTGGGCAATGGCAACAAACCTGTTGGTTCAGGGCACCAGTGGACAACTCATAGCAAGCAGGAGGAAAAAAAAAAAGGTAAACAAAAAAGTATAGAAAAAGGAGGGGAGGTGGCAAGAATACATGGTAGATCCAATATTACAGCTAGAAGAAATGAAGCAACACTTCCAAAAAGCATACCCTCAAAACCCAAAGACACAAATACACTAAAAAAGAGCTGAATTCACATTATCACCAAATGCACATGAGCGTTCATCAAGACAGGCCACATTATGAGCTGTAAGACAAATCTTTACGAATATTTTTAAAATCACAGAGTATGATCTCAAGCCATAGGAAAATTATACTAGAAATTAGTAACACACAATTATATTGAAAAATTATATATATGTGTGTGTATATATATATATTTGTACACTAATATGCTTCTAATTAAAACATGGGTCACAAAGGACGTCTCACAAAAATTAAAGTATTTTAAAATGAATGAAAACAAAAATTGGTTCAAAACAGAAATTTGTGGGATGAAGCTAAAGTAGTACTGAGAAATCCATAGCTTAAAATTTATATTAGCATAAAAAAAGCCTCCAACCAGTTACCCAAGCTTCCATTTAAAAAAGACACAAAGAGCCCTGGATGGATGGCTCAGTTGGTTGGAGCATCGTCCTGTACACCAAAAGGTTGCAGGCTTGATTGCCAGTCAGGGCACACATACCTAGGTTAGGGGTTCAGTCCCCAGTCAGGGCACATATGGAAGGCAACTGATCAATGTTTCTTTCTCTCTCTCTCCCTCTCCCTCTTTGTCTCTTCTTCTCTCTCTCAAATCAATGAACGTATCCTTCAGTAAGGATTAAAAAAAACTACGCAAAGAAAAGTTAAATCTAAAGGAAGAAGAAAATAATAAAGGTTAGCAAATACAAAAACTGAAAACAGAGAAAAATCAAACCAAAGCTTAGTTCTTTAAAAATATTTTTTTTAAGTGATAAAAACCAACCAAGGAAAAACAAGAAGATATGTTATCAATATCAGAAATAAACTCAAGAGGGGATATAACGACAGATACAGCAAACATTAAAGAAATAATAAAAGAATATTGAGATAACCTCTATGCCCATAAATTTAACATTTTACATGAAATGGACAAATTTCTTAAAAACAAAAAACTACCAAACTCACTCATGAAGGATGAAAAAATCCCAAAAAGATCTACTTAAGAAATGCGGTAAAAAAATATGTAGCTCAGAAAAAACAGCTCCAGGACCAGACGGTGTTAACTAGTGAATTCTACCAAACATTAAAAGAAGAAATAATACCTATTTTATGTAATCTTTTCAAGAAAATACAATATGTAGAAATATTTCCTGAATCATTTTGGGGCCTGTTTCATCCTCAAAGCAAAACCAAACCAAGTCAGTTCAAGGAAAGAAACCTACAGGCCAATATCCCTCATGACATAAATATAAAAATACTAAAATACCGTAGCTAAAGGAACACGGCAATATATAAAAATAATCAGGACCAAGTGGAATTCATCTCAAGAATGCAAACTGTTGCCAATAGTCAAAAATCAACCAATGTAATCCATCATATTAATTGTCTAAAAAGTTAATATCACACAACCACATCAATTAAGGTAAAATATTTCACTAAATTCAAAATCCAATCATTAACCTAATAAGACAAATCTACAAAAAGCCTCTAGCTAACATCACACTTAATAGAGACTGAATGCTTTAACCCTAAGATTGGGAAAAAGAAAGAGGTGTTTACTCTCAAAAGTAGTAAAAGATGTTAGTAAAAAGTGTTTATTTCTATTCAAGGTTGTAATGAAAATTCCAACCTAATGCAATAAGGCAAGAATAAAAATGATACAAAGTCTACACAGAAAAATCAAAAAAAGGTCTTTTAAAAACCTCCATTAACTAATAAGTGTTTTCAGCAAAGGCAAACTACAAAGTAAATATGCAAAAGTGAGTAATATACCAATAATGACAACTGAAATTTGAAATTAGATATACAACATAATTTACCATAGTACTAACACACACACAAAACACACACACACACACGCACACACACCCCAGAAACAAAAATAAACAAAAAAAACTGTCATCTGTATGCTGAAAACTACTGATGAAATAAATCCTAAATAAACGGAGAGGTAAATGTTATTTAGGGATTAGAATACACTATATTATTAAAATGTTAATTCTCTTCAATTTGATCTATAGATTTAATGCAATCCAAGCTGAAATGTCAGCATGCTTTTTTATAAATATCAAGAAGCTCATGTTAAAATTCATATAGAAAGTTGAACTCACACTATCTGATTTCAACAATAAGCTACTATAATATAGTAGAGGAATGAAAAATAGACACCACAGAAATATACAATCAAATATATATACATATACAGAAATATGCAAATATGTACTCATCTCTTTTTCTAAAATCATTCAAGTACTACTGAATGGAAAAGTAATAATCTCTTCAATATATGGTACTAGAATAACTGAATACCTTTTTCAAAAATTTAAACACGACATATACCTCATGCTTTCTATAAAAATTAACACCAACTGGATCACAAAGTCCAAAATGTGAAATTTAAAAATTTCTAGAAAAAAAAAATCCCAGGAATAAATCTGTGTTAGAGTTCTGATGTTTCTAGACAGGACAACAAAAGCATGGTCCTGACAGAAAATTAAAGAATGGACTTTATCAAAATTAATGTTCAATTTTAACCAGCCTCCTCTGAAACCATGCCAACAGAAGAATGGAGTGCAGCTTCAGTACTGCTAAGTGGGGAAAGAAGTCCCGGTAACCCATGAAACCTCTGTCAACATCCCAGGGAGTTGGACGACAAAGCTGCTACATTAACACCTGGCAGGGGTGAGATCTGGCCCCCACTAGCCTTCTGTAATAGTAACCACCCTGTTATTTTATCAGGTGCCAATGTCCCGTGTTCATCTTCATTCTTCTTTCCATCTTTCAGAATCTGAATATATGTGTGTGTGTATATAGACTATATATGTATATACATATACACACACATATATATGTATGTATGTATATATTTAACTGTACTTAAAGAGTGAAGTAGAAAGGAATATATTTACTCCATCTTTCCCCTGGTTAATGCTTTTTATTATTTTATTTCATTTTTTTAAATATATCTTTATTGATTTCAGAGAGAGGAAAGGAGAGGGAGAGAGAGATAGAAACATCAATGATGAGAGAGTCATTGATCAAGCCCACAACCTGGGCATGTGCCCTGACAGGGAATCGAACCCCGATCGCCTGGATCCCAGGTCGACACTCAACCACTGAGCCACACCCGGCCAGGCTGGTTAATGCTTTTTATATCTTATTCCTTCCTTCCCTAACCACAGTCATGAGCATGTTTTCCTTATCATACAGAATATTTCTTTTGCTTTGAAAATCAGGTCTTTAAGCGAACTGAATCCTATTTTTTGTTCCCCACTGTTCTGTGGGGATAGTGCCATCTGTTAAAGACCAACTGTCTATAAAGCAAGTTTTTTCTTGAGCTTTCTTTTCTGTTTCATTAATTTGTTAAACTCTCTCACCCCCAGCTGCATATTATTTAACTACTCAGACCTTTCCATATATACTTGATATCTGGTAGAGCAAGTCCTCCCATATCAATCTTTTTCTCAATGGGATTTAGTTTGATATTAAGTCTTTACAAAAATATTTCCATGTGCATTTTTATATAAAATTTCACTATCTTTCCATTTTTTCTGTTAGTATTAGCTAGCTTCATCCATTTATTTGTTTTTTATCCTAAGAAACATTCTACGATTTCTGTTTTCCAGTTTATTAATTTTAATTCACTTTTAAATTCTTCTTTCATTAGTTATTGTTCTTGCTTAATTTATTAATATAAATATGAGACCACAAATTTACCTCTACATTAGCTACATCCTAAGGTTTCTAGTATGCACATTTTTATTATTTTATAAATGTCATGCAATTTTGGATTTTTTTATACATTGCTTAAAAGAATTTTTAAAATTCCCTAATCAAGGGTTTTATTAACTCATTTTATCATTAACTTCTAGATTTATCAAACAATGTTGAGAATGCCATTTGTGGTGATACTACCTTGCTGGATTTATTGGTGCTCTCTTTTTGACTGAAACTGTATTTTCACTATCTTATTATTATCCTATGGGAACCTGAAAGGCTTGTCCTTTGATTTCGGCATACACACACACACACACACATATGGTTCACTTTAATCAAGTATCACTTATACCCTCTGTAGGCATACTTATTTGGTGTCCACAGTATTTATTATTTAATCAGATGAGGTCCAGCAGGTCCTCAAAAAACTTCCTTCCATTAAATGTCATTTCATTATAACATTGATTCCCTGCCAGGACCACTGTCTATGTGGAATTAACATGTTCTCCCCATGTCTGTGTGGTTCGCTTGGGGTAATCTAGTTTCCTGTCACATCCCAAGACATGCATGTTAGGCGAATTGGCGTGTCCACATGGCCAATTTGAGTGAGTGTGATGTGTAAGAGTGCACCCTGTGGTGGCATCCCACCTTGAGCTCTGAGCTGCCTTGATAGGCTCCAATCACCTGCAACAATAAACTGGAAAAAGAGGGTTGGAAAACAGTGATTAATTTTTCCTAAGTGTATGTATAGCTCACATATCAATGTTTAAAATTTTAAGTGTTTTAGATCTTTATTTAGAAATTTGGTGATGTTTTTGCTGTGGGAACTTATGTCAATTAGCCTATGATTAAAGGTGGTTTCATTTTAGGTCATTACACTTAAAGTCAGTTTCCAAGCACCTATCGACAATGTTAAGTAAAGACTTGCTGTATACTATGATCTCCTAATCCAAGTGAACTTTAAGTTCTTAAAAATCTACTTTGTGCTTTATGACTGTTGATATCACATTATTTAGAGCAGTCAAATGCTTAAAGATTTACTTTAACCTGTGCTCTTGTGATAGAGGGACTTCTTTTAAGTTTATGAATTTATTGTCTACATTCAAACCTGAATAATAAATTAAACCCTAAATTATATTATTCTTGAGTCAGCATTTTTATTACAACCTTTCTAAGATATTTATTTAAGGGTATCTTTTTTAGCCAATCAGTATGATCCAATCCTTTACATTTAGAGACTGGGAAATATGCTTGATCGAAACTCTGTCAGCCTTTATGTTACACTACCTGTCTAAATGGCTTCACAACAAAAACTTTCAGTGAAAAAATTTACTTAAGATGATTTTACTTTTTTTGCTTGAGGAACTATACTGAAACTATAACTTCTGAAATTCCTAGAATTGTTTATTAGTTTACACAAAGGCCAATAAGCACATGGAAAGATGGTTGGCAACATTAGTGATAAGAGAAACTATTATGGACTAAATTGCATCCACCCCATATTCCCAATTCAGTTTGAAGCCTTAACCCTCAATGTAACTGTATTTAGAGATAAAATCTTTAGGAAGGTAATCAAGATTAAATGAAGTCATAAAGGTGAGGCCCTAACTCTACAAAACTAGTGTCCTTATAAAAATAGGAGGAGACATCAGAGCTCTCTCTCTCCCCATAGGTGCAGAGGAAAGGCCATGGTGAGGACACAATGAGAAAATGCTCATCTGCAAGCCAGGAAGAGTGGCCTCACCAAAAATCAACCCTGCTGCCACCTTGATCTTGGACTTTCAGCCTCCAGAATGATGAGAAATAAATTTCTGTTATTTAAACCACCCAGGCTATGATATTTGTTATGTCAGCCCAGCTGACTAATACAGAAATGCAAATCAAAACCTCAATGATATAGCACTTCACATTCACTAGGATGGCTACAATCAAAAAGTCAAGTAGTAAGTGCAGTGAAGATGTGGAAGAATCAGAACTCTCAAATGCTGTCACTAGGAATGTAAAATGGTATAGCCCCTTTGGAAAACAGTCTAGCAGTTCCACAGACCTACCCTATAACCCAGCAATTCCACTCCTATCTATACACTCAAGAGAAATAAACGCATATGTCCAAGCATAAAGTTGTAAATGAATGATTATACTAGCATTACTCAGTAATAGCCAAAAAGTAGAATCTTGCCCGGCCAATGGCGCAGTGGTTGAGAGTTGACCCATGAAACAAGAGGTCACTGGTTCGATTCCCGGTCAGGTCACATGCCCAGGTTTTGGCCTTGATCCCTGGTAGGCGGTGTGCAGGAGGCAGCCGATCAATGTTTCTTTCTCATCGATGTTTCTAGATGCTTCTCTCTCTCTTATCCCTCTCCCTTCCTTCTCTCTAAAAAACAAAGTTATGAGTCCTAAATGTCTACTGACTGGTGAATGAACAAATGTGGTATCTCTAACGAAATATTATTCTTTCCCTAAACAGAATGAAATACTAATATATGCTATAATATGCACCTTGTAATGCAAAGTGAAAAAAACCAGTCACAAAAGAATGCATAATGTGTGAATCTGTTTATACAAAATGTCCAGAAGAGCCAAATCCATCAAGACAGAAAGCAGCTTAGTGGTTGCTAGGGCTGGATGGGCCAGAGGATAGGGAGGTAATAGCTAAATGGTATGGGGTTTCTCTCAAGAGGTGAAGACCGCTGACAGTGGTGTTTACATATAACTATGATATAATAAAAGCCACTGAATTGTATACTTTAAATGGGTGAACTGTATGATACACGAATTATATCTCAATAAAGCTGTTTAAAAGGAAAAACAACTTTTAAAAGTGTTTCCCTTTAAGGTCTAATTACCCCAAGAGTTTCCTTCTGTTTGTGCTCACTCACCTGGGGACCTCTGGTTTAGGAATTCTTCCTCTAAGGACCAGGGCTCTTCACCTTGCTCCAACTTGAAGATCACCTGGGGTTTGGTAATGCAATACCCTGTGAACAATTGAGGGTATATATAGAACAGATCCATAGGCTTTTTAGTTTCTGAAGGTGGAGAAAGATACAGCAGCAAGAACAAAATAGAAGTACCCATTTGCAGTTTTTAATGGGAAAGTAATGACACAAACATTGTTTCTATTTCTCTAAAGGTTTCAGTTACTTAGGCCTTCTAATCAAAAGCCTAAACATTAATCTCTATAAAGGGTCCATGTGTTTTTGGTAATTTAAAAAAGAGAGGACCCGGCTGGGCGTGGCTTAACAGTTGAGCATTGACCTAGGATCCAGGAGATCGGGGTTCGATTTTCGGTCGGGGCACAAGCCCAGGTTGCGGGCTCCTTGATCCCCAGCAGGGGGAGTGCAGGAGGCAGCCAATCAATGATTCTCATCATTGATGTTCCTCCCTCTCCCTTCCTCTCTTTGAGATCAATAAAGACATATTTTAAAAAAAAAAAGAGGAGTGTATTCTAGAGGGAGTCCCAGGGGAAGGTCTGCTCACCCATGGAGACAAGATGGCTGTAGTTCTCCATCATCACCTCTCTGTACAGGGTCCTCTGAGCAGGACCCACGTACTGCCACTCATCCCTGGTGAACTCCACAGTCACGTCTTCAAATGACACTGATCCCTGTAGTAACATATTTTGTTCAAAAGTTTAGAATTATGTGACAAAGAAAATACCTCTGAGAACTACTGTTTTCCTATTTACTCTTAAGGCTGTCTTAATTTTAACCTAATTTAACTGTGGAGTTACTCAATTAGTTAAAAAGGTTTTTAATGTACCATAACTCATTTATATTTATGAATTACAGTTTGGGTTTTTTGTTTGTTTTTTTGTTAATCCTCACTTGAGGCTACTTGAGGATATTTTTTCCATTGATTTCTTAGAGTGGAGGGAGGGAGGGAGAGGGGAAGAGAGAGGAGAGGAAGAGGGAAAGAGGGAATGAGGGAAAGGGAGGGGGGAGAAGGAAGAGAGAGAGAAACATCGATGTGAGAGAGACATAGATTGGATGCCTGCCGCACATGCCCAGACTGGGGCAGGGGATGGAACCTGAAACCCAGATACATGCCCTTGACCAGGAATTGAATCCTCGACCCTTGGTGCACGGGCCAACGCTCTAACCACTGAGCCAAACCAGGAAGGGCAAATTATAGTTTTTTAAGACCAAAAAAAAATCCAAAGTAAAGCAACTTCCTACAACTTTTCTTCTACATCCCAAGGGATTATCCTGGGTATCCTAGAGAATTCTAGGATGTTCAAGCCTCCTTGGACAGCATTACCAAAAATAATGGGAGCCAAGGAAGAGATACATGTAAGCTATGGAGATATCATACATGATTAAGCTTATGTATAAATAAATGTATAAAGATATATAAATCTAGAGCTCATGAAGAGCAAAGAACAACCTACCAAGGAGTTGGAATCACAGAGACCAGTATAAGAGAAGACAACCTACACTGAAGTAACAGCAATGGCTATAAGGATCGGGATAGAATCACAGATCGGAAGCAACAACCAGTCTGATAACTACTTTCTCATGTAGCTACCCAGTCTAGCAACATGAGCTGCTTCTTGAATGCTGGTGCCAAATATTGATTTGGGACACAAAAAGAAAAAAATGTGCCACAAGTTCTAACGTGACAGATCTGTTCATGTTGCTACTGAAGGGTCTATGGAATATAAAGCTGGAACTGTCCCTTAAACCAGTATAACATGGTTTTAGAACAAAGAAAAAAGGTCTTGGATGAAGATAAGCATTAAGGAGTTACTAGCAATTTGGGTGGTAACTGAAGAGGCAGTCAGACAGCAACTGGAGCATGTAGGAATTGAGCAAAGAAAAGTATCAAAAACAGCATCTGAGGAACTGTGAATATTAAAGAGATTGGCAGAGCCCTGCCCGGTGTGGCTCAGTGGTTAGAGCATCAGCCCTTGCACCAAAGGGTCGCAGGTTCAATTCTCAGTCAAGGGTATGTACCTGGGTTGCAGGTTCAATCCTCAGCCGGGACGGGTGTGGAAGGCAACCGATCAATGGGTCTCCCTCACATTGGTGTTACTCTCTCTCTCTCTCCGCCTCCCTACTTCCTCTTCTCCCTAAAAATCAATGGAAAAAATATCCTCACATGAGGATTAACAAATAAAAATAATAATAAATAAAGAGGCTGGCAGAAAAAGTACAGGCAACAAAGTCAGAGAACTTTTTAAAAGTAATAATAGAACTATGAGAGAACAGTCTTGGAAAATGAAAAAAGGAAATTTCCACAACAAGACTTCAAAGGGGCCGGAGGGCGAAGTGGAGAGTTGCTATTTAGGGAACATAATGTTTCACTTGTGAAAACCATTAAGTTCTAGAGATCTGCTATACAACACTGTGCCTCTACTTAACAATACTGAATTGTATGCATAAAAATTTGTTGAGAGATCTTACCACAATTAAAAAATACAAAGGGAAGTTGATTAAGAGATAAGAGGACAGAAACAAGTCCCCCCCCCCACTGTTATGTATACAATTTTATGTTCATTCATGTCTTCATTACTGAGTGAATACCTCCTCTGTGAAGCTCAGTACTAGTAGCTGGGAACGAAAACAAATGAGTAAAAGAACACGAACACTTCTCATTAAATTTAATCTAAAAGAAATAAAAGAAAATTTAACTATATTTTTCAAACTAAAAATTCAGTAAGAAAAGTGGCTTTTTTCATTTTTGCCAATCTTTACTATCTGGCTTAATAAAAATCAGCTGGATTTTTTTTTTTTTAATTAAGCTAACAAGTGATTTAGGTAAAAATGTTGAAGTAGGGATCCCAGAAAATTCTCTCCTCCACTAAAGCAATGAAAAAAATGGCAAAAATTATAGAAGTTAACAAAGGCAATCTGTGGAAATATATAAGAAAAACAGCTGAATCACAGCAAGAACAATGATACTGTGTCCTCTTAATTTACCCTGTTCCTATCCCTCTGTCTCCAACTCTGTAGTAGTTTGAGAACCAACAGTCTGCAACCAGCAGCCTGGCAACTATAAGAAGGTTGGAGTTCCATCAAAATCTCACTCCCGTGCCCAGCTGGCGTGGCTATGGTTGTCGTCCTATCAACCAGGAGGTTATGGTTTGATTCCTGATCAGGGCACATGCTCAAGTTGTGGGCTAGATCCCCAGTCGGGGGCGTGCAGGAAGCAGCAGATCAATGACGACTCTCTCCTCACTGATGTTTCAATTCTCTCTCTCCCTCTCCTTTCCTCTCTCTGAAATCAATAAAGACATGTTTAAAAAAAGAACCAAAAAAAAAAACCTCACTCCCAGAAAACTGTCATCATTTGGTCTGTTTGGTGGTTCTCTGAAAGACCCCACTTACAAGGATGTCTTTATTTGAGCTAACTTGGAGCTTACATAGTGTGAATAGCCTATCCTCAGAGGCACTGTCAAAACATTTAAAATGATTTGTTTAACTTAGGTGCTGTATAACAGCAGCGGCAAACAATGGCCAATCAAAAAGCTTAAAAGAATATGCTGGGTAATGAAATGTCAATAAAGATTATGAAAAGCTCCTATGTAGTCCTGAGAATCTAGAAGGCCACATACATGCATAAATACTTGAAATACATATTTATGCAGAGTAATTTTGAGGCTATTCAGTTGATTCTTCAGAAAAATGCCTTAATTCAACCCCTGTGCTTGAGTTTCTGAAAATTAGTATTGATTGAGTTTACATATAGCACTAAGTCTTCTATTGACAAGTAGAGGCAACATTCTACATTATTTTAGGGTTATATTACTAGAAAGCTGTTAACTAAATCACCTCCTTGAAAACAAAGATATTTTTTATCTTCGATTATCTTTACATTCTATGGGGAATGTTTGCTTTACCTTCTCACCAATGTCAGCCTTTAAAGAAGTATTGTCTGACACTCTAATACAGATATCAGAACCCTCAGAAATAAATTTGGTAAATTTATAATATCAGAGGATCTGTATATATCCACATGCCAACTTTGTTCGGCTATTCATTTGTATTTCTGTATCTTCTCTGAATAAGTTTGATCTATTTGTATCTCTAGTTTCCCATGTTAACATAAAGACACTTAAGCCCTTATAAAATCCTCTAAAATAAATAGGTATTAAAAACTGAACTCACCTGAGCTATGTTCATTTTCTGCTGCTCCTGCAAGAAGGTAAAAACTGTTGAGGGTTCAGCTGGAGAGGAAGAAACAGAAATAGGGTCATCAGAAACCTGGTCTGCCTTACAATTCCTATATTCATCTGCCTAAAAATCTCATAGCACCAGGTGGAGAAAGGGCTTCCTTATGGGATACTGTCCCTTTGACATTCCTGAGAAGGAGCAGGAAGAACCACAGAAGTAGCACCACCTGAGTAAGTGCACCTCTGAGATGATCAGGTGGGCTTAATCTTGCATTTCCACTGAGGAAGGTAAACTGCTTTTTGTCAATGAATTAACACTTTATGCCCCCTTCTAAAACAAAAAAATATTTAAATAAGTACACAAAACAAAGGATTAGTTAAATAAATTCAGGTACACCAGAGGTGAAACCCTCTACCTTCATTAAAACTAATGTCAAAAAACTACTCAGGCTGGATTGTTAATCAAGTTCTTGTCTTTACACTTTGAGTTAGAGTTTCCCCAGAAAACTCTGAAATAAGGATGGGATACTTCATGTAAAAAATATATTCTTAAATTTTTTGTTCTAAATTGGTTGCAGTTTCTAAAAAAGACCTTTTGCTAAGATATTTATAGTACTTAGTTGTGTGAGTAAACAGTACTGTACTGCTGCTGTTTGGTTCTGCCCTGGGTGACTGTACAAAAATCATTCATTTTGGACCAATATTTTTGGGCTTCCAAAAGTGTCCAATATAGAAAACACTCCTACTAGCATTTTGTTATCTATGTTCAGGAAAGAGGGAGCATCTGCATAATTCTAGATGCCATGTGTAGTGATAGCCATGGTGTGAGAGCAGCTCAGAATCTAGAGTGGGGCAGAATAAAGGAAACCTGGCGTTCAGGTTTTCGTCAGCTCTGGCTGGTTACACCTTCCCTGGACACCTGTCCTCTCCAGCCATCCACTGAAGTGCCTTTTCCTGTGCAGCCTGACAGTCACCTGTCCCTCCCAATACCAGATTCCCACCTTCTGCAAGTTGGTCCACAGTTTCCACTGTCACACAATCAGTGATGGCTTTTTGATGTCACAACATCACCAAGTCTGACTCATGCTATACAGGTATGAAGACCTGCTTCTAGTGGAGCAAATCAAGATCTGCTCCTTTCTAGAAACTTCTACCTCTGCTCTGAAGCTCTGGTGAGGGGTCTGTCAGAATAGCTGTTTTTCCAAGTGGCAGCTGTTTCTGGGTCTCCCTTTTCTGACGTCAAAGAGTTACTTTGCTTCAGAGGGACTGGGACCTGAGCCTGAGAACCAAATTCACTTTATCTGAAACCTTCCTTTAACATTCTAAACCTGACCCTTTTGAAATTCACTAAAAATGTACTATCCAGTACAGGAGCCATTGGCTGCATGCAACTACTGCACCTGAAGTGTGGCTACTGACACAAGTTAAAATCACATTTTGACTGTACTAAATTAAATCAGTAAAATTAACTTTACCTCCTTTTCTTTTTACTATTACTACTGAAAATTTTAAAATGACATTTTTATATTATATTTGCACTATCTTCCTACTGGCCAGCACTTCATTAGATTACTAGACTGGGCCTGTGAGGATGGAGGCAGCCTGGACACTGCAGGAAGGCGCAAGAGCCTCAGTCTGACCCCGGGGCTCTGGAGAAAGCCCACAAATCCCAGGCGTATTTACCAAGTGGTGAGATTCTGTCCACATTCACTTCACAGTCGTGTCTCTGGGAATTTGGGGACAGGCTACTCTGCGAAGTGCTCCAGAGGTTGTAACTCTGGGTTTGGGGCAGGGAGGATTCTTAGGAAGACAGGGAGTAAAATCTTTATTTGCATCCTACCTCTCTCAACGACCAGCTTGCGCCCTGAGGTATATCACTGCACCCCCCGGAAAGTCCTTTCACTTTTTAAAATGCATGTTCAAACCGACAAGTAGGCTTGTTGTCAGCGCTGAGAGAAGCAAAAGGAGGAAACAAAGTGGCTTCTGAGAGCCGTTTACACAGCGATTACACAGCATCTGATAAAACATTTTGCAGATGACACCTTATTTAATTCTCAGGATAACTGCACCAACTACTGTTAGCAGCCTCTTGTTCATCGTGACTGTTAAGAAGGTGCATTCGCCTCCCCCCTGCAGTCCCCACCCCAGGCCGCCCGGCACCTTCTCCGGCCGAGGGCTCTGCCCCACCAGCGCTGCGGGAGCCGGCCGGGGGAGAGGGAGGGCCGGGGGAGGGCGGGCCCGCCTGCACGTGCCCGGGCCTTCCAGCCCCCGCGCCCCAGACTCGAGCCTACCTGACCCGCAGGCGCTCAGCGCCCTCACCCCGGGCGCAGCCTCTGCTCCGGCACAAACCCAGCGCGTCTCTCTCTCGCGCCAGAGGGCGGCGGGCGAGAGGGGGCGGGGCTAGTGCGCACATGCGCAGACTGTGCGCGGAAGACCCGTTCCCAGGGGGCTGCGCGGTAGGCCCACACATTCGAGACTACATTTCCCATGAAACCTTGAGACCAAAGGAAGTGATTTTTGAAGTATTTCCGCTTTATTAGCCAATTGGGCCTGACCCCTGAAGCCGCAGAGATTTGGGGTTAGACTTTAGGTCCCGACAACACGTTGCAAAGTGCTGCACTTGATGGGATCTGGTTTGGAAAGACAACAGCTGCAAGAGACAACAATTTGGGAAACATGACTATGAACTAGATATTAGAAATATTAAGGAAAATTACCATTACCTTGGTTTTTGTGATAATACAGGGGCGGGCAAAAGTAGATTAATAATAAATACAATAATTAATAATAAAACAAGAATAAACTCTGTTTCCAGTACTCACCACTGTAAACCGATTTTTGCCTAGCCTATATTGGGACAACGTAGGAAAATGTTATTTTTTAAAGATACAGATAAATTTACAATTTAAAAAATCATATATTTATAATTTACTTTTAAAAATTAAGCAAAACAATTAGAGAAATCAAATATGTTAAAGGTTAAGAATCATTAAATCTGTGTAGTATGGCCCTAGCCGGTTTGGCTCAGTGGTTGTAGCATTGGTTGGGGAACCGAAGGGTCTCAGGTTTGATTCTGTCAAGGGCACTGCCTTGGTTGCAGCTCCAGTTGGTGTGTCTTTCTCACATCCATTTCTCTCTCTGTCTCTCCCCCTCCCACTCTCTCTAAAGAATCAATGGGAAAAATACTCTCAGGTGAAGATAAAAAAAACAAAAATAATCTGTGCAGTATGTATATATGATATTCATTTTATTGTTTTTGCTATTCCAAGTGTTTGAATTTCTCTTTAATACACAGTAAAAGAC